TGCATGTAACGCTCGGTTCTAGCCCCCCTCGATAAAAATGTGCCAGTGTGATGTCATTGTCAGTGTGATGTCATTGTCAGTGTGAGACCACTAAGCCCATTGGCTCGTTGTGGCAAGCCCTGCAGCTCATGTTGCACGCCCATTATATATGCCGTAGCCTGCGGTAGCACAGTAGTGCTAAGGTGCCAGAGTGGCTGCATTCCCAATATGGTAAAACTTCAGAGCCTTAGAGAGAGAGTCAGAAGAGAGCCGGTGCATGGAGCGGCAGTTCATGAAAACAGACACTTTTTTTTAACTTTAGCTATTGTGAACATACTTTAGTAGGTACGTAGATTAAATATATGAACCCCAAAAAGGGCAGAATATGGGATCTTTAATAGGTGTCCAAGTCCAGCTCCTAAGAGGCCCACTCCTCATCACATCCTGCATACATCCATCACTACCACCACTAGTGTCTAGACTCCATCAGGAGGATATCCTGTCCTGCTGTCAGCCTCACTATGCTTTCGAGTACATGAAGACATCATGACCGAGGCTATTATCACCAAAGACATTGCATATTTCTCTTTTCTAAACTTGATAAATAAATAATTATTCTCCCCTAATTAAGTTTCTCTGGATTGAAATACCGTCGGCTGCTGAGGATGATTATTCATGATGTGAAAAGGCCTGTATAAAACTCAAGCAGTCATATGCACAGGTCTGTTCATATCAGCCTTGTATTTGGTCTGAACTCAACACTCTTGGTTTTTTCCAGCATCATAATAAAAACCATTTTTACTCAATCAGATTAAATGGTTGTTTTAAATAAACAAAACCTAATGAGACATGTTGTGGATTTTTGATTTTTGAAAGATCTCAAGTCAAAGTCTTTTGTCTTTGTCTGTTTTATTGCATATAGTAAAGAGATCTTTTGCAAAAGGGGTAATCAGCTACAAAAGTAACATCAGTCACAAGTGCATCCAAGAGTCCCGGGGGAGTCCCGGTTGTAGAGCATATTTATACATTCACAGGGTGTAGGTATTTTACATATACATGTGTGATACATCGTCATTGGTTTCAGCTTGCCTGGTGATTTATCTAACGCCAACAGAACTCCTTTGTTCGGAGGGAACTGATTTAGGATCATGCTGTACCCAGATACTGAGGAGTGTTCCTGTTGGAGATACAGACCAAGGCCATACAGAGAAACAGTTTCGAATTTCTAAATGACGCACGAACATCCTAATCTTTTAAGTTCAAATGAGGACGACAGACCGATAGTACAGGCAAAAGTGACCTGATGTTCACCTGAACTCTTTGACGATGAGGTAACTCAGAGGTTGAAATCAATGATTACAGGTGCTAAAAATAGCACACGTGCTCAAAGCAACAAAGGTGCTTAAAATAGTAACAGGTGGGAATGTCAAGCAACAGGAACTTTTATTTACTGACCGTGTTTACAATGCTGAGGTCACTTTGTACTTCACTAAAAACCAAGTTAGGACTGTCAGTACTATATGGCGGAGAATAATGGTTTACAAAATCTGAAACAAAGCACAATATCTGCTTTAGTCAAGCAATTTTCAAAATTATCCAAAGACAGTTCATAATTTTTGACATGTTCATCTAAAACAACATTCAGGGGTAGTTTAAGAATGTTTGCTCCTTTGGGTCGCCTATAAAAAAGGCATAAATAAACCAAACTGTATTTTATAAATACATTTATTTCTCTAAAAATCGTTTCAATTCTACAATTCACTTAGCAAACGCTTTTATTCAAAGCGACGTACAGAGAGTAAGTACAACACAAGCAAGGATCTAGAAAAAAGGGAACAATGTCAGTAAGAGCAAACGATCAGCTTTGAGTCTGATTGGACACACAGGTGCTGACAGGAAGTGACCAGAGGCAAAGCACAACATTGAGGGCAGTTCTTGAGAGCTCTAATCAGTATAGAAACCATCTTATAAGTCAACCGTCACAATCATCATCATCGTTTCAAAATGCGTTCTTCATTTCTCTGGTAACCTTTAGATTTTCTTCTATTCCTGTGCCAAAGGTATAAGATTAAATGAGATAAATACATAGGAACCCTTGTTGAAAAAGTCCGACCTGATGTTCTTATCTGAACTCTGCAGACATCAGGTAACTCTTGAAGTTAAACATCAAATGATGACACAGGTGTGGGAGGAGCAGAAATGAAGCACAGGTGCTAAAAATAGTCCCAGATATCAATCAAAGTGGGATTGTTTAGGAATGTGAACTTGTTTACACATGCTGAGGTGTCCAATGCCGTTTCCTTGTTTCTATACTAGCATCAGATTACATTGTGGTAGTACAGCAGTTTTAAAACAAGCCCTTAGCTAACATTGTGGATCCAAGTTTTTGAGATAATGAGGTTAAATACACTTCTATGAACTTTATTGAAACAAAACCTCCTAAAAAAGTCAGCTTTTTAACCAACTTCTGACAAGATCACGATCTGTATACTAAAGTTTGTCATTCAATTTCATTCATTTCACACACTGTCTGTAATCTTATCTTCTGTTGTGTAACTTTAATAGACCCGAGAAGAGTAGAAGAGTAAGATTGTGCGAGTGCATGAGTTTCACATTGAGGGCTGTGCCAGTCCTGCAGGTCAAATAACACACAAGACACCAAGAAAAGAAAGAGAGAGAAACATAAAAAGAAACTCAAAGCTAAACTGTTAAAATTGCACAAAGCAATATTCTCATATTAAAAATAGAACAAGTGTGTTGTTTCATGTTAAACCAACATAAATGACAAGTCCAGTAAAGACAAAGATTTGGTGATTCTCAAAATCAAGTTAGCGATGATGAAATTGTCATGATTTGGTATTATTTAGTTTTGTATTTTCAGTGTTTAGTGTTTCTTTATGTTCTAGTGTGTTTTGTTCATTCTTGAGTTCTGTATGTCTTCAGTGTTTCATGATTTAGTTTTGTAGATGTCCTCAGTGTTTCTTGTTTTATATTCCTGCCTCTGTTTCCCTCCGTGTTGATTACCCTCATTGTCTTCACCTGTGTTATTAGTCTCACCTGTGTTTGATTACCCCGTGTCCATCTAGTCTCTGTGTTTCTTCTTCTCTGTGTCAGTTCATTGTCGTTTGTCGTATGTGAGTTTACTTGTGGCTCCTTGTTTTCTCCTGATTGGATTTCTGAAGTGAGTTTTTGTTTGCCTTTTTGTTTAATGAAATATTTTTATTGGTTCTGCATCTGGGTCCTCATCTTGGTTTTCTTGATCCATAACAGAAATATTGGTTATCAGCTGGCACCTCGAGAGCCTTGAGTTTGAATTATTCAGTCAACATTCAGAGGAGTTGAGGGTTAACTTTGAACATTGGCAAAAACCAACAAACACACCTGATATGACTTTTTTAGCTTTTCAAGGATGATATAACAAGGGGAAAAGACACAAAGTTTGACAGCTTCAACTACAGGTTATTTCTGATTTAAAAAAAAAAGAAGCTCTGATGTAGATTTTAAGAGGTTACAAGTTGTCTGAGATCATGCCAGGGAAAAACTGGAAAAATGAACTCTGATCTTTATTGTATGATCACTTTTTATGAGAGGAAAAATGAAAGAGCTGAGCAAACACTTTTTCAAAGGCAGTCTTGTGAGCTTTTCTTGTGTGGGTTCTTATTTGCACTTTGAATGATTTTACCTTGATTACTTCAAGATAAAATTTAAATGTAACCTTACCAACCTGTGCACAAACACAAAAAGTCTATGTTGCTGTAAATAAAGGGCCAGGTAACTGAATACATGCACCAGAAGCCTCTTCCCAGCAGTGAATTCAATAGCTATCTTGAACAATACTATGTTGTCGCTTCATCTTTACCGCCATGTAAAACCCCCTTCATCAAGATTAAAAAACGCTTCAATTCAAGCTGTTTGACTTAAAAATGGTTTCCAGGAGTGTTTGAGAAGTAAATCTCGATTGACCTTTAAAATGGTCAACAAAAAACAAATGTTCCATGTTCTATTGCAGGGGTCACCAGCCTTTTTGAAACTGAGAGCTACTTCATGGGTACTGAGTCATACGAAGGGCTACCAGTTTGATACACTCTTCTGAAATAACAAATTTGCTCAGTTTGCCTTTAGTTATATATTATTATTATTAATGATTAATGATACTCAACAAAAAATTAATCAACAATGACTTAACATGTCAGCGGTGAGCGACGGCAGTACGACGGTATCTCAGCTTTCAATCGCTCTGTCCCGTTTTCATCTTTCCTCATCATTGTAAGCCAATCGCGTCGCCCCGTTCTCATCTTTCCTCAAAAATGTTAGCCAATCGCGTGGCTGGCATTGCATCTTTTGACTCCGAGCCAATCGCAGCCCTGCAAGCTTGCGCTGCGTGCGAGCCAATCGGAAATGAGCGCTCGCCTCGATATCCCACCCATACATTTTCGCCGGTAGCGGAGAATCCATTGAATGGGACTCGACTTCATCTCTCAAGGTAAACTGTCATCAATTAAACTATTGTCACTCATAATATATTATTTTCCCGTAGTTAGATTGTTCATTGTGGTTAGTTTGACTAGTTTGACTGAATGAATGTATACAGGGTAAACGCTAGCTAGTTAAAGAAACTTTGTTATCCAAGTTTAACGTTACGTTAACTTGACGGTGTTGAATAACTTGACGGTAAGAAGCCGGCCGGTCACCTTGGTTAACACAGACGATATCTTCATTCACTAAAATGATTGTTGCTGCTAGAGTTAGAGACGTGTAAGTTATGTTTTTATCTTATTTTGCCGTGTTAACATCGTCATCATCCATAGGGTTTCAGGCTCCTGCATCGGGCCACTTCATCTAAAACAGAATATCTCATTCTAATTCTATATAGCTAACTTAGTTATGAATAAATAGAATCGCCCTATTTAACGAGCTTAATGCGAAAAGCAGATGTGTTAGTAAAACATAATGCAGAGTTTAGTTGTGGTAGGCTGTTTATCAATAGATTTCATAATAGCCACGACTGAAATAACAGAAAAACTGAACTTATATTACATCATCTCATTAGCCCATGTGTACATATGAAGGGAGTTGATGGGATATTAATTTTGACTTCTTTTGGCCACAGATGGCAACAAAACAAAAAAAGCACAAGGCTATGGGTGATGAGGAGTGGATGTCACGCCTGCGGAGATTCGCTGCTTCAGGGGTTTGGCCCTCTGATGCAGGAGTGGAATGACCTCTATCTGAAGGTATAGTTGTATTAAGCAATTACAATACAGTCACACATGATAAAGCTAATAGAAACACTTGCTTATTTTTTTGTCATGAAATATTACAGATTGACAAATGCCCGATGCAACGGAGGGGACAGGCATCTCTGTTTGGGGGGCCACAGACATGTGGCTGTGGTTTCCACACTAAGAAGGTATTTTTAAACTAACATCAAATTGTTGTGTGCACATTTTTGTTGTTGTGTCGTTTGCTTGAAATGACTTCAAAAGTCTCTGTACATCTTTAGCCTTCCAGCTCAGTCCCTGACACCCCATTTCCCCGTACCACTGTTGGCACTGGTCAAGGGCAAGGCCCTTCAAGCGCTGCTGCTGCTGCCTCCTCAGCATCAACATCTGCTGGACCTGTGCAGAGGCCTGCTTTGAATCTGGCTATGGTAAATCTTTATTCTGTTTGTGATTTTTACCCAATGATTCTTAACTACTGACTTCTATGTTTTACAGAATAAGTAACATGATCATGCATCCTGTAAGATTACATTCATTTTCTTTCAGTTTACAAAACCACAGTTTGGCGGGTCGCATGGTGCTGCTTTGAAGCCAAATTTAACTGTGGCTAGGAAGCCTGCAAAGGTACAGTATGGTGACAGTCTAGGCATACATTTGATTTATAGTATTGCTTGTGACATAATTTCTCCTTGGTTAAATGCTTTATCATGTCTTATTATGACACAATGATTTATTATGCCTAGTAGTGATACATGATTTTGTAGATATTCATTAGCCTGTATTTCCTCCTGTTTCTCTCTCAGCCCCTTATTAGTACGTCCCCCAGTGCCACCACAAACGTCGACACTGCAACACCAACATCAGGGAGGACATCATCCCCTGCCCAGAGTCCCGGAAAACATATTAGGACCAGCTCCCCGTTCTCTCTTCCCCCCTCTCCTCTTTCATCAGCCTCAATAATCCCCCCAGCCACTGCTAAAGCTGTAAGAACCCTTTTCAATTGTGTTGTTCACAAATAATTTTTGTGTGCCAAACTTAACCTAAGCAGTTCAGTGATCAATGGTGTGTTCATGTGCTTAAATGCCTTATCATTGCCTGAAGCTATACTTCAAGTTTTAATCTTATATGCCCAATAATGATACACGATTTAGTTTATAACCTTGTATTTCCTCCTGTTTCTCTCTCAGCCCCTTATTAGCACATCGACCAGTACCACCACAAACTTTGGCACTGCAACACCAACATCAGGGAGGACATCATCCCCTGCCCAGAGTCCCAGAAAATATATTAGGACCAGCTCCCTTTTCTCTTCCCCCCACTCCTGTGTCATCAGCCTCAATAATCCCCCAGCCACTGCCGCTGTAAGAATCCTATTGATAATTTTTTGTTGTTGTTGCCAAACATCAAACCCTAACCTAAGCAGTTCAGTGATTTATGATGTGTTAATGTTTTATTTGTGTGTGTCTTTCTGTACATAATTTGTTTATTATTAGGTTGTAACAGCTGCTCCCTCCAGTGCCTCCTCAGACCCTTCTGTCTGTGCTCCTCTACCACTCCTGGTCCTGATCCTCTCAGCAATATGTCAGCGGAGGATGTGTTGGCTGCCCCTGGCCCTGACCTACCCTGGCTGCCAGTGAAGATGAGGAAGACCATCCCCCTCCAGGACCAGAGATGGATCTCTGCAGCTCTGTGGAGAAACCAGCGGCTACGGACCGACCTGAAGCTGTGGTACGAGCCACCGGGCCAGCGCTCATCTACCATCAGGCCCCCACTCCAGAGCGCTTTTTTAATCATCGCCTGCTTGTGTGGATGCCGTACCACTTGTGGAAGGTCAGGCTAACCTGTCCTGTGTGTGGGAAGCAGCTTGTGGGATACGGTGCCCACAAGAGAGCCCGTCAGGTCCTTGACGTGGACAGGTACTACCTGATGGTCACAGAGACCCTCAGGTGCAACAGCATTGGTTGCAAAACCAACTACCTGTCCAGCAGCAAGACCATCCTGGACCAGCTTGACCTGGCTCACCGGCTCGAATTCAGGCTCATCCTGACTCAGAAGTGAGTATAAAGACACCACTGTAACGAGCATGTACAAAAAAATGTTAATGAGAATACATATTATTGTGTTACATTGTTTATTTGAAAATTGTCTGTAATTGAAACAGACTGATATAAGAGGTTGGACTGTCTTTTTGTGTTTGTCTAAATGTCTCTGTCTCTTCCCTTTCTTTTAATACAGATATGCTTGTGACATTCGGGTCATCCGCTTCCTGCGGGAGAGGACCCTGGGCAACAGCCCGTCTCGCTTGGTGAAGCAGCTGAGGGAGAACCACAGCGAGGAGTGGCTGCAGCGCCTCTGCCAGTACCTCGGGCATGCTCTGACTTTGTGGGCCGGCCCAGCCTGTTCCCTGTGGTGTTTCAGGACCCGCCTGAGCCTGTGGCCATTCCCACCTATAAGTGGATGCTGGCGGTCTACGGGCGGGACATCTTAAGCAGGCTGGAGCACATCAAAGCCAGCATTACATCTACCTTTGGCTCCATCCTGAAGATGGACTCCACAAAGAAGGTACAATTCCTCATCACTGCTCTTATTCTCATGTCACAATTCTACAAAAACGTGTATCAAAGCATCACTCAAACTGACAAAATGACTAAAAAGGGATATTCTTCATCCCTAAGTCGCAATGTTAAAATGATTTTACCTGTAAAAGGCTGTTAAACTGTACTGAAAAAGAATGGTATACTTACAAAATGTAAATACATAAGTCAATACCAGACAAAATGATATGCTAGTTAGACCTAAGTCACTGAATGTTTCCTCTGTATACTTTCAGATCACCAGGAAGTTATCGGGCATTGCCAAGAGGACTGCCCTCTGGCTTTCCTCAGTTAGTAACGAGGTGGGTCAGATCTTGATCAGTGTCCTGACTGCTCAGGAAGGCTCTGGGCTGGACCTGATGGTGGCTGATCTCATCCGGAGGTACAGGGAAGCAGGTGTGGCTCCTCCAAAGCTCCTGTATGTGGACTGTGGATGCTGCAAGAAGGATGGGGAGGAGACCAAGCTTAAGGCACGATTTGGTGGCTGGCCAGACGTTGTGGTCAAGCTGGACATTTATCATTTCATGGACCTCAGCATGTCTACAGTGCACTTTTAAAAAGAAAGCATGCTGCGCCACACACTGCTGCTCCAGCCACTGTCCGGCGAAAGGTGCCCATTCAGAGGCAGTTATTTCCCCTGCCTGCACCTCTGCCTACAGCTGCTCCTGCCCTTGTAAACCCTACCCCTGCCCAAAGCCCCTTGTTGTTAATGTTGGCTGTCCCCTCTCCCAGGCCTATCGCCCCTGATGGACCTCTTCCCCCTCCACCCCCCTCCCAGAGGCCCTACAATCGTCAGGTGGAACATAATAAGTGCCGCAAATGCCATCAGCCCCGGAACAAAGACAGTGGCCACAGGCAATTTCATGGATACATTTATTGCCCCACTTTCACAGGGATGCCACTGGAGCAGTGGCTGGAAGAAATGAGGAGGAAAAGGGCCGAGAATAAATGATGATTCATTGTTCTCCCCTTCTGTCTGCCCCGTCCTGTCTGTCTCTTCACATTTTAGTTTTTTAAAATGCTTACATGGCATTCAAATAAGGAGTGTGTACCGTCCCGTCCATGTAAACACGCTGTAGATACTGCTTGGAAAATCAACCACAGCTGGACTCGAGTGTCCCACTCATTGTAGACAGTCATGACTCACAGAGTCTGCTGCAGGTGTAAAATCTCAAGTTCAGAGATTCAGATTCAATCTACAGCATTAGTCTGTTTGAGGCTAGAGGCTAAAATGCCAAATATATCATTATTTTGTTTAAAGGAAATGTCCTAAAATGTGAAATGTGCCTTTTATTTAAATGTTTTTAGATTTTTTAATTGAAATATTTCAATAAATGTGTGTGCTTCTACTCCAATTCTTACATTTGACTTATTTCTTAGCAATTTGACACAGTAATATAAAAATTATATTACAATAATATTTGCTATTTTTTAGTAAGTAAAGTCTTGTATCTAAAACAATTAGATGACTTGTGTCAATACCACTTAACTTCTGAGAAGAAATGAAAAACAAACACAATATCACTTTCCTACACATTTTGAATGCTAAACAGAATCAAGTATTGTTTTCTTATTTAAAATTACTTTTTCATCTGAACAATCCAAAACACTTTGTGAAGTTTGTTTTGGTCCAGACAGGGTTCGAACCCCCGTCCTTCGGATCCAATCTTCCCCTATTATCCCCCATATGAAAACTAGAAATATTCATCATTTTGAGTAATTTCTAAAATTTTATGAAAACTAATGACTTGGAGTAACTTTTGACTTGCAGAAGGGCCATTAAGAGTTCTTCTTTCTTTCTCTTTTTTCCTCTTTTTCCTCTCCTTTTCCTCCTTCCCCCTTCTCCCCCTTCTTTCCTCTTTCTTCCCCCCCCCATACAGTCTATTGTTTCCCAGCTTTAGCGGAGGAGATAGAAGGAGGACTTGGAGTCTGGAGGTTGTGAGTTCAAATCTTATCAGGACTCAGTGAATTTTAAAGGTGTCCGTCCTAAATGAAAGACTCAAGAGGAACATAGTGAAGCACCTGCCAGTATCGATACACAGGAAAGACTCAAAGACGGTCACACACACACCATTCTCTTAAAGGTGTTGGTCCAAAGGAAAGACTGAAGAGATCTGAGAAACATAATCAAGTATCTGTCTCTGTGGCTCAGGAGATAGAAGGAGGACTTGGACTCTGGAGGTTGTGGGTTCAAATCTTATCAGGACTCAGTGAATTTTAAAGTCCAACATCTGAATTGATGAAGATAAATACGCCCGGAGCTCATGTCATAGTGTGAAGGGATCAGTAGTGTAGTGGTTAAGATTGTGGTTTCTAAGCTCTGTAGGTGGGCAGCCTGGGTTCAAATCCCACTGTGTCTGGTGATGGAGGGTTTGAATCTTATCAGGCAAATTTTAAAGTCAAAATCCAAAATGACCATGATAAATACGCCCGGAACACATCTCCAAGTGTGAAGGCGCCGGTGGCCGAGTGGGATCGTCCTTGCATCTGCAACGGGTACGTGCTGGTTCAATTCCAGCTTCCACAGCATCAGGGCTTGGAACTGCTAGGGGGACAAAAAAGAATTTATGTGGACATTTCACAAATTAGGTTGAGGGTTCTTTAATCAGCAGCATTAAGCAAAGTACCCCCTGGTGTTCGGAGAGTAACACAAGTAGGGGGTTATGGAGAAGAAAATGAAGTGTGTGAAGTTTTGTTAACATGTCAGAGCCTTTTATTTAAAAGTGTTGTATGAAAGTTAAGAATAGAATAGAATGACTTTATTGATCCCAAACTGGTAAATTGTGGCGTTACAGCAGCAGGTTATCTAACACACAATATGAGTAAAAAACACAATGTTAACAAATCTAAACACAATATAATATAATATAAGTATATAAGTACTAAAAATATCAAAACTAAGAATGAGAATATATACAACCAGGACTTAACTTAGTATTACTAGTCTTAAATAGAAAGATTAAATGTAAATGTGCAAAAACAGAATAGTAAATGGACAATGTTCAAAGTTAAAAGGAGCTAAAGTAAAATATGGAGCATCAGTGAAGTCAGTGGAGACACTTTTTATATGATATGTTAAGACCAAGAAGACAACTCTCCTCTCTGTAGGTCATTGAGGGAACAGGAAGTTATAAAGGAAACAGGAAGTTGAGGGTTCTTTCTTTAATCTTCAAGGCTGCCCACAGCAGGCAGCAACAGCAATGTAAGTTCCTTTACTGAAGTTAAGGTTTAGCATTAGCATGTAGCTTAGCATTGTTATAATTTGTTATGTATTGCATCTGATGTAGCATACCATGTGGCTTAGCATGTATGTTAGCATTAGCAACAACTTGTATTAGTTTATTGTTATGTCTTGTAGTTTTCAGTCCTTATTCAATGTGGTGAATATGTGGCAGACCATCTCTTTGCTCCCTTCAGGTGCAGCTCCTGCAATTGAAAGACAATGTTTAGATTTAGTTTGGACCAACAAAGACAATCCTCATAGCAAAGCATGCACAGGTGAGTATGTAGAAATGAGGTGCACAGGTCTGGGATCATCCATCTGTAGAGAGAGAGAGAATGTTAAAAATGTTTGATTTGCATTTAAATTGGGGAATTCAGTAAAAATAAAAACTGTTAAAAAATAAAATATTTTATAATATTTAAATATTTTATAAATGATTAATATTATAAATATTTATTAATAAATAAATAAGAAGTTTGTTCAAGCTGTTTCAATTGTCTTCTTTCTGTTTAAAGCCTTGTGTTAAGAAATAAAAACGTGTGTGTGTGTGTGATTAAACTCTGCTAATCCAACATTACCAAACAGACAAAGTTACTGTGACACTGAAGATGCAGAGGATTAAAATACCTCATTCAGTACAGCTGCAGATAGACGACAGATACGGTAGCTACATGCTAATGCTAAGCCACATGCTAATGCTAAGCTACATGCTAATGCTAAGCCACATGTTAATGCTAAACCACATGGTGTGCTACATCAGATGCAATGCATAACAAGGCTAATGCTAAGCCACATGTTAATGCTAAACCACATGGTGTGCTACATCAGATGTAATGCATAACAAGGCTAATGCTAAGCTACATGCTAATGCTAAGCCACATGTTAATGCTAAACCACATGGTATGCTACATCAGATGCAATAAATAACAAGGCTAATGCTAAGCTACATGCTAATGCTAAGCCACATGTTAATGCTAAACCACATGGTATGCTACATCAGATGCAATAAATAACAAGGCTAATGCTAAGCTACATGCTAAACCTTAACTTCAGTAAAGGAACTTACACTGCTGTTGCTGCCTGCTGTGGGCAGCCTTGAAGATTAAAGAAAGAACCCTGCACTTCCTGTTTCCTTTATAACTTCCTGTTGCTAAGTCCAGAGCACTTCCTGTTGCACTCCAGAGCACTTCCTGTTGATAAATCCAGAGCTACAGATATAAGAAAACCGACGAGAGAAACAGACAGGTGATCATTCAAACAAATGCTTTGATTATGTGTGGTTGTGTTGAATGGATGTTTGTAGGAAACTCAGCATCGTTAACAAAAACAGGCGGAGAAATACAGTTATTTTTTAAAATAAGGGCCAATCAGAAGTCTTGGAACACCCTCATGTGCTCCCTGAGACTCCTTGAAGGTCTCGGGACTAGAAGGAAAAAACAAGAAATAACTTAACTCCATTTATAGTTTGATTTAGTTACGACCACAACCTTCCCGGTGTTACGGTCCAAGTGAGTAAAACGTCCCGTGCACACAAAGATATTTGTGTCTTGTCTTGGTCTTAGTGTGGTCATGACTACAACACTACGTGCAGCACCCTCTGCATGCAGAGTTCAGACTTCTGCAGACTGTTGGGTTTTTAAATGACATGACACTTGGATCCGGGGGCCTTGTTGTTGTTATGCTGTTATGTTGGTTATGTATTTTATGTGCCATTGCACGTTAGTTTGGAATACCCCAGGGTTTGGTTTTCCCTCTGATCATTCAGCAGTCTGGACAGAAAATGTGGTGTGATGTGTTAGCTGGTACATACATGAGCTTCTGTCATGAGTCTCTCCTGCTCCAGTAACAGGCCCTGGTTGAAACAAAAAGGAGCTCGTCCATCATCCTCTGCTTGTCTTGGATCTGTCTCTGAGGCGGCTGAGCTGCTTGTGGTGGTTCTCCAGCTGCTCCTCCAGAGTTTTGTGGAGATGTATAAACAGATTAGAGACAATACAAAGTGTGTTGTGTCCTCACCTTGATGTCCTCGTCTCCATCATGTCTCTCTCTCTCCTCCACCTCTTGGCTCTTCTGGTCGTAGTTGACGGCGAGCTCCTCCAGCGCCTGCAGCACCTCCTTCACCTCCTCCTTCAGCTGGTTCTCCGTTTACAGCCGGCACAGCTCCTCCTGGGAGGGACGTGGGGTCAGAGTGAGTTCATGCAAAAATGATCATCCTTATGAAATCCATGTTTAAATAAGAAAATGACATTAAGTAATAATAATTGAGAAAATGAAAGTATTTTAAGCAGGTTGTCTCCAAACTGTGCTTCTAATGTTGTGTCTTGTCTTTGACTTTAGTCTATTCTTGTCATCCAGCTGTTTGTACAGGTTGCTGATGTCCTCCTCGTATTTGCATTCAAACAAATTAATCATTTCAATTAAATCAATAAAAAGGTTTGTGGTATTTTCATTAAGAAAACCAAATGACAATAAACGAATTAAATTGATTAAAAAGTAAGTTTGAAAAGTAAAATTAAACCTAAGAAGAAAAGGTTTAAGGTAAAAATGCAGCTTTAACATAAATAATTGATCAAACAATGATGTAAGACTCTAATTAAAGTTATAGGTTGAAAATAAATGTATTTTATCGTTTATAAATCAGTTTATATGGAGAGGGCGCCCTCTGGTGGTTAGTTGTTGGTTACTGCACTTAAATAATAAATGAATTAGACTGCTGTTTCTTTGAGTAAATTAAACACAGAAGGCTGGATGAAGAGCTTGTTGTCTTAGTTTACCTGTTGTTTTATTTACCTTTTAGCTGTTGTTTAGTTTTATTTCCCTTTTAGCTGTTGTTTAGTTTTATTTCCCTTTTAGCTGTTGTTTTATTTACCTTTTAACTGTTGTTTAGTTTTATTTCCCTTTTAGCTGTTGTTTTATTTACCTTTTAGCTGTTGTTTAGTTTTATTTACCTTTTAGCTGGGAAATAATAAATAATAACCTTTCAGGTTAGCGTCTGAAGTGTACCTGTAGGTCTGTCTTCATGAGCGAGGCTCCTGCTTCAACCAGATAATGACAGATAGTTCTTTGACACAGGGACGCAGCTCGGTGAAGGACCGTCTCCCCCCTGGTCAACAGAAGAGAGAGAGAGAGACAACATCACCCGAGGAACAGACATCAACCCCCCTGCTGCTTCTTTTGGTGTCTTGTGTTTATGATGGCACATATATCATCACATATAGACTGAACAGAGATCAGAGCACAGATACAGGAACAGCATCATCATCTACACTCTGTTAACATTTAAATAAAGTGTTTAACATTTTAAAAACCTCATGGTTTCAGTTCAATGTTCGATGTTTTCAAGCACAAATAGAATCTGTACTTACTGCAGTTTTTCTGTAAGGACTAAAAACTACTTAAAGGCAGGGTTGGTGATTTTCTCCAGATCCACTTTTTAAGATTGTGGTTGAAATGATCAACCCTGCCTTTAACCCAGACAAGACTCTCTCTTACCTGCTGTTTGTAAAGTGTCTTGAGATAACATTTGTATTGAGTTGGCGCTCTACAAAATAAAGATTGATTGAACTGACTTATTGTTTTACAAGCCTGTCATTGAAAGTTTCCCATTTATTCAAACACTAGAATACAGAAAGAAAGAAAAAAACATCATATTCCTATGTTGAAAAGAACCCACATACATTCATTAATTGTAAAAAAAAAACAACAACTAAGGAGTCTATTAATGAGCTACGCATGGTGCAATGGCACCCCCTGTTGGCCTGTCAGAGACTGCTACAGGAAGTGACTGATCAAGCCCTGCCTATAAAGGAAGCAGGAAGGGGAGGGTTCCTTCTTTAATCTTCAAGGCTGCACAGAGCAGGCAGCAACAGAAATGTAAGCTCCTTCACTTTACTGAAGTTAACAACTAAGCTTTCTTTTGTCTTGTATTAGTTTATTGTTTGAATTTAGAACTTTGGTAATGACTAAACTAAATGTTGTTGTGTGTTGTAGTTTTCACTCCTTATTCAATGTGGTGAATAAGTCAAAAGAGTAACTAACATCCTGACTCACTCCATACGTGCACCATACATGTGGAGGACTGCACACACACCTGTGGAGGATGTAGAGGACCATCTCTTTGCTTCCTGCACTGGCAGCGTGATGACGTCAACTGCAGCCGGACGAGTCGAGTGAGGTGAGGTGAGGCTCCCTTCAGGTGAGGCTCCCTTCAGGTGGGGCTCCCTTCAGGTGGGGCTCCCTTCAGGTGGGGCTCCCTTCAGGTGGGGCTCCCTTCAGGTGGGGCTCCCTTCAGGTGGGGCTCCCTTCAGCTGATGATTCAGTTCAAAGACACATGTGAGTATGTAGGAATGAGGTGCGAAGGTCTGCAGTGAGAGATGAAACTGTCACTCACCTTCTTTAAGTCTTTGTTCTTCACACACTCAACCAGCAGCTCTACACACAGAGAGAGAGAGAGAATGTTAAAAACCACAGATAATTAAAGTTATTATCAGTGCTCTGTATGACGAGGTTGAAGGTCTTGGTCCTCAAAAGGATTTGATTGACTTCTCCTTTTGGGCGACAGATTTATCGGCTAACAATAAACACATAAACTACTATAACTAATTAAAACACAGCTGGCAGATAACCAACGACATTAAGGACTAATGCAGTGCAGCTGAACCTGATCACAGATGTTCTCTCCCCTCCCCCCAGGTACTGAAGTCAATGTGATGCAGAATGGACGCAGCAGTAGTTACTTTCCAAAAAAACAGGCCCAATGTGACATTATAACAAACTGAATGTTAACTTTCATAAATCAGTCCTTTTTTTATTCACTTGTCTCCAAAAACAAACATTCTCAAGTTTAAACTAATTGTGATGTGTCTTTTTTTAACACTTTTAGGGGCAGCCTGACCAAAACAAGATGAAGAGCTGTTAGCATGTCTGCTACACCATGCTGCCTCACTTCCTTCAACATTTGGTGAGTATTTTTCTTGGCTCTTGTTTTATTTTAACCGTTTGAGTCACATATAGTTATATTCTTGATTTTATTCGTAGGGCAAAATTGACATGATGCTACAAACTTTTAAATTTTAATCCTAACACTCTCTTTGATGTAGAGATTATTTTGACTTAATTAAATTATTAATGTATCAGAATGGCCCATTTTACTTCATGTTTTGTACAATCCTAGCTGTAAATTACTCATAGATGCAACCTGACATGAACTTTAAACCCTGATGTCTTTCTTTCTTGTGTCTGATATTCCAGGTGTTTCCTCGCTCTGAAGAGAAGGATCTGTGCTGCAGCTGGAAGGAGTTTCTTTAGATTAAAGTTTACTTGTAGACTGTTTTAGTTTTCTTTCAGCTATAGATTTAGTTTAAAGTCTGTTTTCTTTAATCTTTATGTGCAGTTTTTTCTCAACACAATTTTAAAGTCTTAATTTGTGTCTTGTTTGTGTTGTAGTTGTTTCCTTCTTTGTCACACAGCTGTTAGATTTATTTTCATTTGAAGTTTAGATATTTTTATAACAAATTTCCATTAGGAAAATGCTTATTGGTGGTAGATAATTAGAAAGTTTCCTCAGGAACAATGAAAGCTGTAAACTACTATAAACCACAGCTGGCAGATAACAGCCTAATCAACAATGTAACACAAGCACAGAAAGGACAGCAGTTTTATTACAATAAAATCTAACAGACATGACTTCTGTTTTTTGTACATGTTACATCAGCACAATACAATAAGGCGTCACAGGCGTCCACATTGGGTAGGAGCTCAAAGCTTAATGTTGTTTTATGATGTTCCAGGTTTAGGTCGTATAAAAGTTTAGACTCAGTTATTTTAATAATTTGATCCTTTTTGGAGGAACATCAGGTGTTTAATGAAATAAGGATTATAAAAATGTAGTATTTCATTAAACACCTGATGTTCCTCCACTCCAAAAAGGATGAAATGATTAAAATAACTGAGTCTAAACATCTATAAGACCTAAAACCTGGAACATAATAAAACAACATTAAGAAAGCTTTGAGTCTCCTACCTGAGGAAGACGGCCACCGACGGGGGATCCTCCTGGAAGACGTCAACAGAGTTCCTGTTGGAGAAGAAAAACTAATTTAGTTCAAGTAAATAAACTCAAAATGTTTGTGATTATACAACATTGTGATGACTGGAATTAACCTGAGTTTCATCATTCACGGTAAATGATCTGTGTTTAACTTCACTTTAAGGCTTTTCTATGAGACCGAAGCAAACTTAAATTTAAAGTTTAAATGTAGAATATAATATAGAAACATTAAGTATAAGGTCTTAAGAAACATCTTGACCATACATTAACTGTCACAAGAACTAAAATTAAAGGTTTAAAATAAATGAATCAGACTTTGTTTCTTTGAGTTTGAATCAAACACAGAAAGCTGGATTAAGAGCTTTAACTCTTAAATTAAATAAAGAAGTTTATTCATATTACTTTATCAAGATGAACATTTAATCTCTGAGCTCTGTGAACAGTAATGTTTAGAAAATCATTTTACCTCGGATTAATAATTTACATATTAGTCAATAAAGTTAAATTGAGGTTATTGTTTTATTTAAACTCTTCAATCTGATATTAAATTATAAGTTTTGTTTTTAAAGTTTACTTTTACCCGGTGTTTAAACAATTAGTTTAAGAGGAGAAAACAAGTTCAAAAGTGACCTTCATAATGTTGATAAATGTTATCATCATCTTACTTTGACCATGTTTCCTCTTAACAAACATTTAGCATGAGCATTAGCCCACGTGTTAGCATTAGCATACAGCCCCACGTGTTTCTATTTTGTGGCTTTTCACACAAAACTGAACTTTTAAAGACTCACTGAGTATCTAGACTTCATCTCTCCTTCCCCGGCTCCTTCTTCTTCCACCGCTTTGATCCACAGCCAGGCTGCCCGCGGTCCGCACCGCTTACCTGCTCGAAACAATGATATACACACCTGAGAACACCTGAACACACCTGGGCGTGATTACCGGAAGCTTCAACCGGAAGTGTCGCAGAAAGTTTCTATGGAGAAATGAAAAAGTTATAAATAAGAGGACACAAAACAAGACTAAGTCAAAAATCAAATGTTTTATTGATAAAAATATTTCTTAATGTAATTTACTTGTTTTTATGTTTTTTTAAACTTTGAACTCTTGGTAAGCAACATGAGAAAGTCAAACTCGGGTCACCATGGTAACTACCGGTAACTGCATTCGTTAGCAGGACGAAGCTAACCTGTTTTCCGGTCTTTAGGACACTGACTGAATTCTTACCCACAGATAAATTCAGTGTTCATGATGTTTACCTCCAGTTTCTCTCTTCCTCTCCCTGTCGTTCTCCAAAGTGTCCAAGAAGCAGATAAATTAGTTAGTTTGAGATACTAATGTGTAAAGATGGAGTTTAAAGGTGAAACTGCGCCCTCCTGTGGTCACTCTGTGAATTACTGCATTTGTTTTTTTCACCTTTCTTGTTCTAGATACAAATTCAAACTGCTTTTTTGTTTTATTTCTTTATAAATAAATGTGACTTGACTTAATCACAGATAACATATTTTCTTAATTATAAAAAGCAACTGTTTACTGCTTATGTTAATTAAAATCCATTGTCTGTTAATCACACGTGCATGTTAGTCTCTCAAAGAATCTGAAGTGTAACTTCACTGATTGCATATTCTTGTGTACGTTGGAGCGTTTCACTCCTGAGGAAGAAAGCAGATTGTGTTCCCATGACATATTAGGCAATATATTTTTCTTATTTTCTTATTAGTGGTAGATAATTAAAGACTACAATAAACAAGTTTCCTCAAAATGAAAGAAAACAGACAATGAAAGCTGTAAACTACTATAACTAAATAAAACACAGCTGGCAGATAAGGGTTTTTGCTTTGAATCCACGTCTTTTTAAGCCTTTTCTGCCTCGTAATTATCGTGCAAAAATCTAAATTCTTTGACTTCCAAGTAGAGTGAATGTAATCACTGAAATGTGTCTAGAAGGTGACTGGTTACTGCACTGACCTGTATCTAACTTAAAAGTAGTGAGGTTTTTACCACACCTCTAAGAGCAGATAAAATGATCATCAGAGTTCAACCACTGACGAAACAAAGACACTGAAAGAGAGTACAGAAAGAAGACTTGGATGAAATGAAGAAACTTCTCAGTTGACAGTTTTGGTCTCACTCCAAGTCTTCACTCAGAAAGAAGAAAAGAATTGATTTGCTTTCTTCAGAAGAAAAAGAAAGAAAAGAGAGTGTTGCTTACAATCAGAGGACAGGTTATTTTGTCTTAGTCTGTCTTAGACAGACCCCTTTAAAAGACAGACTAAAGGGGTTTCACACTTGCAGAAAACTCCTGAAAAACTCCTGACATCTCAGAAAAGTGTCTTGACACTGAAGAAAGACGGCAGCACTCACCCGTCATTCCAAAGGGAAAGCAGGTGTCTTTTAATCACATCCAGGATTCCTTCGATCCACAACCAGAAGGAATACGCTTTCTCGTTCGCACTCTGCTTACAGACAAATACATTTAGTTCAAAGAGAAGATGTAGTTTTAACTTTATGATGCACCAAAAAGACTCCATTAGTATCTGCTAACCTGTACATGTTTCTCTTTTGCAGCTTTTGGTTAAATTACAGATTTGAATACAGATTTATTCATTTTTAACTTGTGGTATTAAAAAGTATCACAGATGTTTACGATCTTAAATCTCCGGCTGAATGGGGCTCACCTTGCAGAACTTGGTCCAGGGGATTTGTCCCTCTGGGTTCCTCTTGGCTTTGGCTCCTGAAGATAAAAAAAATAAAAGTTAAAGGCCTGTTTGAAAGTCCTGCAGGTGTTTATCTGTTAAAGAAAACTATTTCTACCGAGCAGTTTGTCAGCCAGCATGTTGAGCTGCTCCTGGTTCAGGCCTCGCTTGGTGACGGAGGAGAACTGCCAGCTGAGGACCTCGGACAGCTGAGACCACTTGGCCTGCGGAGCGAGAAGAACTTCAGATTGTGAGGGAGAGGAGAGGAAAGAAGAAGAGATGGAAACACAAAAAGTCAAACCATCTGGTTTAAAACTACAGTTAAAGATATACTCTGTTACGAATAGAAGACCTTTATTCAAAACCTTACTTCATATAAAAAGCACAGGCATCAAAATATACTCAAAATGCAAACCGTAAAAACAGCTATACACGCGTCAACATTTAGATTGTATTAATGGTCTGTTTATGAATTTAAGGTGGCAGCTGTGAAACTTGTTTAAATCATTAAGATATCACCTAATTGTATCTTTGATATTTGTGATAAGTAAACATCTGTAATCATCAATGAGAGTCCTGGTTGTGTACCCTGGCTCGGAGGTCAGCATGTTGTACCAGAGGATGGAGGCCCAGCCGCTGGGCAGCTGACAGACGTTAGAGATGACAAGAACAGGCAGGGACATGGCCTACAACAACAAAAAAGCAACAAACATCAGGAAATAATCATAAACAAACTCATAAACTACTCTATAGTTTGACTGTAGTTACTAATCATGTCCACTAGATGGCAGCCAAACTCTGCTGTTTCATTTAACATCCAAATATTTCCCCACTTCCGTTCCACAGCTTAGTAGCACTGCGTGTTTTAAAGTATATATTCATAATAATTAAATGCTTTGTTGTGCTTAAAATGATCTACATGATGTTGAAGGTTTTTTAACTCTTTGTGGCTTTAATGTAACTTCTACACTTTACAACCACGGACTGTAAATATTACAATATAACTCACCTGGAGGTTAACAGCCTCGTCAGGTCTAATTAACCGCTGCATCATGCTTCATATTGCACTGCTGCCCTCTGCTGGCGATGGATTGTAATTACATCCAACAGTCACTATAACAGAAATGTATCCTCTTTTTAACCTTTTTTTCCACCACATAAATGTGTGGAAAAAATATGAATAGTGCAGTTACTTCTGTAAGCAAAATTCTGTATTTTCTTCTTGTGTTTGTTTGTACAGGTGTGTGCAGGTGTTTCCTCGCTCTGTGCTGCAGCTCAGAGGTAAAATGATTTTCTAAACATTACTGTTCACAGAGCTCAGAGATTAAATGTTCATCTTTACTCAAGTTATATGAATAGACTTCATTTATTTAATTTAAAAGTAAAAGCTCTTCATCCAGCCTTCTGTGTTTAATTTACTCAAAGAAACAGCAGTCTGATTCATTTATTATTTAAGTGCAGTAACAACAACTAACCACCAGAGGGCGCCCTCTCCATATAAAGTGATTATAAACGATAAAAATACATTTATTTTTCAACCTATAACTTTTTAATTAGAGTCTCTTACATCATTGTTTGGTAAATTATTTATCAAAGCTGCATTTTTACCTTAAACCTTTTCTTCTTAGGTTTAATTTACTTTTCAAACTTACTTTTTAATCAATTTGATGAATTTATTGTCGTTTGGTTTTCTTAATGAAAATACCACAAACCTCTTTTTATTGATTTAATTGAAATGATCAATTTGATTAAAACTGCTTTTTGATTATGATTAAATATATTTGATATGAGTACATCTTACAGCTCATTGAGC